TGTCAAATCTTCCCCCAAAGTCCAGGAAATGGCATTTCAGAGACTCTAAATTCAAAAATTTTCCTGGGGGGGCATGCCCCCGGACCCCCCTAGACAAACCTCGCACCTGCGGCACTCGGCTCGTGCCTTCGGCCCTCGTTTATCAAGTGTAACAGCCCACTGGACCCTCCAGAAAAATAGTACCCAGCACGCCACTGCTTCAGCCTTCAGTACGTGGTAATATACGGACGCCGTTTATACCGCGAAGCTAGCTTCAAACATTTTATAGCAATAAACGAAGGAAATTTGGGATCACTAGAATTATTCTAGTGATCCCAAATTTCCTTCGTTTATTGCTATAAAATGTTTGAAGCTAGCTTCGCGGTATAAACGGCGTCGCAATTTAGCTCACTATGTGATTATTGCAGGGTCCATGCCCTTGCGTTTCTTTGTATAATCATTACTAGGATTAAGTTTCTTTCATTAGTCTTTGCCATTCCGACGTTTGGGAGCTTGTGCCCAATTTAGTGTATATCATGCATTGGAAAGAGGATGAACTCCTGCACCATGTAGTTGAGTTTCGAAACAATTAGGGAGGCCGATTTTGTACAAACGCAGCTGAAACGCTTGCTGAATATAGATGTTGGCACAGTGTAATTCTATTGTCTAAATTTAATATATAAACAAAAGAAATGAGTGTAATTCTATAAACAAATTAAAGCAATAAGCACCTTATTAATCCTTGCCGTTTTATTTTATTTATTTACTAGCTTTGTCATTAATGATTGGTGATCCCTACCGGGCTTATTGCCACATTCACAGGGTCCTTATACTAAACATTTACATCAATTACAACACATTTTATCAATGATCGACAAAGGACGACACGTCGACACGATCGAGTGACATTTAACACAGCCAGTTTTAAACGATTGTGCTACATTAATGTCATATATAATGAACGTTGGTGAACTTGTACCCCAATTTGCTGTACGGCATTACAAAGAGCATGAAATACGTACTGCACAGTATAGTTGAGTTTCAGAACAATTAGGAATACAGATCTTGCGGAATATAGATGTTTGAGCAATGTAATTCTATAAACAAAAGCAATTACCACCTTATTAATCCTTGCCGTTTTGACATTGGTGAGCTTGTGCCGCAATTTGCGGTACATCATTGGAAAGAGCATGAAATACTGCATACTATAGCCAAGTTTGGGAAGAATTGGGAAGACAAATTTTGCGCAAACGCTTGCTGAATAGTGATGTTTGCACATTGTAATTCTGTAGTCTAGCATTTAATATACAGAAAAGTAATTAGCACTTATTAATCCTTGCTATTTCGACGTTTGTTGGGTGTCTGTAAAAGCCGGAACCCCACCCGGAACACCCGGAACCCACCCGGAACACCCGGAACCCTACCCGGAACACCCGGAACCCTACCCGGAACACCCGGAACCCCTCCCGGAACACCCGGAACCCTACCCGGAACACCCGGAACCCCACCCGGAACACCCGGAACCCCACCCGGAACACGCTGGAATACGAGCTATGAAGCAACGCACGTGTTTCTCTATAAATTCACGTGTTTCGCATTAAATTCGGGGTGATAGATGGTTACGATCTTTACTTTTTACTTGTATTGTTGTTTTTTTAAATAATTTTTCTCATGGGCAAGGATAAATATATTATGTCGGGCGGTACATAATATCAAATGCATGAGTATTGCTTGTTTGTAAACGTGCAAACGAAGTTTCGCTCGAGGCTTTTGCCGCATGTACTATATTTCAGTTTCGTTTTCAATATTCTGCCGTACTATGTACCTGTGACTCTATTCTAAATTTAGTTGAACAATAACCAATATTTAACTTTGCTATCTTTTTTATTATTTGAATAATATGTTTGCATATGGTTATTTGACTTGCAATTGTATGAAACGGCGCCATGTAAGAATTTAGAGGAATTATAAAGTTCATCCGTATTTATTACAATACGAATTCTCGTGGATTTGTGGGAAATTTTTCATGGATTTCTTTACTAGACTTACTCGCTTTTTGGAACTTGAAAGACGTTTTAGTAATTTAGAGGCTGTTTTGTATATGACAATGACTGCAGCCAACAGTAAAAGTGCACGCGCGAGATCTCAGAATAACAGTATTATTAAGTAGCTAATAAATTATATGTATTGCTAGAAATTCCCAAAACATTCATTTGTCATTGAAAACGTTGACAACCAAATCAACAAGCTGGTGTCGTATATATAAAGCACTAGCCACTAGGCAAAACGTTCATGTTATAACTTCAACAGTAACACAGTCCTTAATTTAATATATTAAATACAATATTTATTTACTGCCGTTGATCGAAGGAACATGGACGTTTTGCCTCGTGCTCTATATATTTATATGACATCATCCTGCTTGTTGGTTGTTAACGTTTTCAATGACAAATGAATGTTTTGGGAATTTCTAGCAATACATATAATATATTAGCTACTTTATTTAAACATATTTCTGATGAGAATGAGTTTGCCCCAAGAGCGTACACTCATCAAGGGGGCTTACTTAAAAATACTGTTATTCTGATATCTCGCGCGTGCACTTTTACTGTAGGTTGCAGTCATTGTCATATACAAAACAGCCTACAAATTACTAAAACGTCTTTCAAAGTTCCAAAAAAACGAGTAAGTCTAGTAAAGAAATCCATGAAAAATTTCCCAAATCCACGAGAATTCTATTGTAATAAATACGGATGAACTTGATAATTCCTCTAAATTCCTACATGGCGCCGTTTCATACAATTGCAAGTCAAAATAACCATATGCAAACATATTATTCAAATAATAAAAAAGATAGCAAAGTTAAATATTGGTTATTGTTCAACTAAATTTAGAATAGAGTCACAGGTACATAGTACGGCAGAATATTGAAAACGAAAAATATAGATGCGGCAATAAATACATGCGGCAAACGCCTCGAGCGAAACTTCGTTTGCACGTTTAAAAACAAGCAAAACTCATGCATTTGATATTATATACCGCCCGCCATAATATATTTATCCTTGCCCATGAGAAAAATTATTTAAAAAACAACAATACAAGTAAAAAGTAAAGATCGTAACCTTCCATCACCCCGAATTTAATGCGAAACACGTGAATTTCTAGAGAGCATATACAGATAGACAGCGTGTTCCGGGTGGAGTTCTGGGTGGAGTTCCGGGTGGGGTTCCGGCTTTTACAGACACCCGCGGCTGGGTCTTGAACCCGCGACCCTCGAATTCGAAGGTCGCGGGTTCAAGACCCATCGGCGGCAGACAATATCTTTCTGCTTGCGCTGGGTATGGAAAATATATAATACACACTCTAGAACATTTTCATCTTAACATATCACATATTATATATATATATATATATATATATATATATATATATATATATATATATATATATATATATATATATATATATATATATATATATATAGTATATATATATATATATATATATATATATATATATATACTATTTAAAGCACGCGTAGGAGTGTTTTATCACATATAAAACCACGACACGCTTATGATTTTTCTTTGTGTTTTGCTCCTGAATTATTAATGAGTTTTTTAAATATATATATATATATATATATATATATATATATATATATATATATATATATATATATATATATATATATATATATATATATATATACCGTATATATATATATATATATATTTAATTATTTATGAAATAAAGTACAAAACAAACGTTGTTACTCAGAGTTTCATGCCTGAGTTTACAGACAATCTTCGGTCAACTAAAGCACAGATGAGGTAAATACAGATATGAATCTCCCGTCAAATTGCTGATTGTTTTGTGTCACACGGAATTCGCACTTCCGGCGAGCGCTGGCAAGTGTCGTTCTGAAATTTAATAAGGAAAGTAATAGGAAAACGCCGTTCGAAGACGAATTTTTTTTTTAAGTCTGCGCTACCGACGGCTATTTTTGAAATAAATTCTTCAAGAGTAATGGTAAGCGATCACTTTTATTGATTTTTTTAATTAAAAGTGTTAACACAACATTTTATTTAGCAAAAGTTTGTTTTTTTCCTTATCTACTCCTTATTAAAATCGTGAAATACACTTGCTGGGAATTTCAGATGCTCATGTATAAATCATAACAGCGAATGATATAAATTCCTCAAAATATAACTCTCGTATAAAAAAGCATGAATACTTCTATAATATACCTATATGTATAGTTTTATTTCACTGCATTATCAAAATTTAATAAAATAGTGAATAAGTATAATTTTAAAGTTTATTTGATCGGTATGACATAATTTGCCGCGAGATTCGTCTCTGTATATCTCTCCTCTGTGACTAAAGTTCTGTTAACTAAATTTAACCGTTTGGTTTTGTTTGCTACGCGTGCATGCTTGCACGTTTGTCCGTAATGTATGATGGCGCACGTTGTTCGATTGCACGCGAGTGTATTTTCCCGCCAGATATTGTTTTCGACGGACGCAATTCGAAAATATTTCGCTTCTTTTGTTGAGCAGCGAGTTATTTTTAAATTTCATGATGTAAAGTTTTTCGTCGCTACACAAATTGCACTGATTACGTCCCGATCTGTATGCACTCGAATGTTTTAAGATGGTCCATTTAATTTCGTATGGGCGATTGCTTTTCTTCAAACTCCAGATGTACTTCGACAATTCAGTGCATTAGCATACTTATCGATGTTGAACCATTTCTGGTGGTTCCTAAAACGCTCCTTGAAAGTTGTAGCCTTAATTCCAATATAGCCTAATGCCTTGTCCTCTGCTGCGATCTTTGCATGTTAGACAATGCCCTTGGTTAAGCGTTTCTTGTTGAGAGGACACGTATTCTTATCTCTGCAGTTGCATGTTTTGTTGGCGGGTGGTGTTGGTTTTAATGGTGGTGTTGGCGTTAACGTTGGTGATTGGGGAGGTGGTGGTAGTGATGGAGCTTTTGAAAGGATCTTACTGTTATGACTGGATATCACGGATTTCACGTTTATCATTTGGAAAACAATAAATACACATTTCTTTCTCATATAATTAATTGACAAAACGGCGTTGGCCGCCATGTCGAAAATTGCTTAAAAGCAGTGGTGGATCCAGCAAAGTTTTTTTTTTTGTTTTTTTTTTGGGGGGGGGGTGCTAACCAATGGCAAAACGAGCGCCGAAGGCGCGAGATTTCTAGTGTGGTCCGGGGGCATAGTCCCCGGAAAATTTTTAAAATTTGGGTCTCTGTCTGAAATGGCATTTCCAGCATTCTGAGAAAACATTCTGGAAAATTTTTAGATTCTCAAAACATTTAAAAATTCAGAATATTTAATATTGGCTATTCCGCTATTATCAACTAGTGATACGCAACTGAATTCCTTAACATAACTTGGTTAGAATTAGGATAAACGTCATTTTTGCCCCCCCACCCCACCCCATGCACCCCTGTTGACCAGACCCTGGGGGGGGGGGTGTACCCCAAATCCACCACTGCTTATAGGTGATTATCGCGTTATAATCACCTCAACGGCAACCAATCAGCGTGAATTTTCAATGATCACCTATGTATAATTACACTAAAATGTTATAAATCTTTTATTGCATAATTTTAGAATATATAAATGTTTGAACAAATCACCTCTTATTCAATTAGCAAACAGATTCAAAGAGTATATGTTTAGTATACTTTATCTTAAAAAATAATGATAAAATAAAGGGATTTTAAATGGTATCCTAGTTAGAGAGAAGGATAATGATGTCTAATGTTCATTATATATTTTTACTTATATTGCTGTAAATACGGCGTGAATTTTAATTAATTAAAGTTATAATTGTATTTTATAATTGTCAAATATATGTTATTATTTTTATGCATGTTTCTCGACCGCTAGATGAATTTGAAAAGGTTTCTGACGGAAAAACTGGTCAAGGATAATTAAATCTAAAATAAAGTAATTTAGAGAGATACACCAAAGGTTTTGAACGTTTTTTATTGCAAATACGCGACAGAAAAATAGCCTATTTAGCAAATTATTTTGAAAAATAAATCATTTAACGCAAGAAACAACCGTAATCGATTTTTGCACTACGTAGCAGACTTACCGTAAATATATGACAAAGATTTAATTACTTGTGACATTGAGAAAAGAATAAAACCAAAAATAGACGGATAAAATTGGTTGTTTAGTTCTTTGAATGAGGTAAGAAATGCCTTGGTATATTTTGTTTCACGATCGTTAGACTGTATAATTGTTATGCAAAAAGCTTGCTGTGTGATACATTATTATATGTCAGTATAAATTTTGCATATCAAATGAAGTTTCGCGCGTTCTGATTGGCTAGTTGACTAGTAAATCTGAGGCATTATTTACCACCTGGGTAGTAAATAATGCTTTAGAATGACTCGGCAAATTTGGTTTCAAAATCGACAAAATATTGAAACTAGGGATCCAAGGATAGTGTGAAGTTTCAAATTTAAAAAGGCACTGCAAGAACTATATAGGGTCGCCGACAACCTAGAAAAGCTTGATGGCTTACACTACGAATAAACAGTTACCAAAGGCATTTCATCTCATTATTTATTGCTTCTAATACGCTCGGCATACGAGTAGCGTGACGTTTGAAACAAGCCTAACACATCAGAAACGTGCCTTGTGAAACTGATGCAATTCATCTATTTATTGTGTCACCAACAACCAAATTTTGCATATTCTAAATTTTCATTTGCATTTGCAGCTGTCGCTGAAAGCATCCCCACGAGGTTACTGCTATGCTAAATTTATCTAATAAACTATAATTTAAATAGCTGTATAAGATATGTTATGAATAATAAGCACTACGTCGTTACATCATTAAAAGACGCATTTTATCCTCATCCATTCCGTATTTTATCCGCATATCCGTTCCGTGGATCCGCTCCATCCGCTTCCGCATTTTAACTTAATTGTGACATGTTTCCAAGTTTCATTGACCTTTGACTTTTCCCAGTGTGACGTGTGTCTATTTTCAGCTTTTCGCATGTGTTGATTGTATATAAATATCACTTTAGATTTCAATAGTTTCACAGTTATAGCAGTGTTTAAAACATTTTTGACAAGCTTTGATACAGTTCTGTGTACAGAATACTACAGGTTGATTCTCGTAAGATCTGGTAGAGTTATCGTTGCACTGAATACGAGTTTGCACCGTTGACAACGGCGTTATGCTAGACACTAGACAGTAAACAAGGACCGTGAATGTACCGTGAATGTACACGTTGGCTACATGTACCTCCTTGCTTTTTTCTTCTATTGCATAAAGCTTGTTGGCGAGCCAATTAAGCGATTAGCGATAACACGTTGGCGATAACACCTAAACACGTTGGCTATCTCCTCGTCTTTCTTATTTATACAAGGGGCTCTGACTCAACTGATTCCTTTAGTGTCGTAAGTTTTTTCTTCGTAAACGCCGTACAAACGTTTACCCGCTTCTGTTTAATAGTTGTTTATGCTTTATTGATCTGATACAAATCTGATGCAATTTTTCGCTCTTTGTATTGAGTATAGCCATCTATTCTGTGATGTAGCACCTTATACAGTCAATGAGAATGTATAATGAATACACGGTCTAAATAATATAGACGGTAATGCATAACATCAATTTATATATTGTATTACTATTATTGCGTAGAATCTCAAAGATTTTCTCAATATTCATGTCTGAAATGTTTATATACTTGAAAACAACACTGTCTCGCTTCTGCCTGCACGTACTGTACCTCTGTATAATGAGTATGCCGTGAAAAAATAATATCGGCACTCAATTGAATGCCTAGAAGCAAGATTTTCGACTCAATATTTACGTCTGAAATGTTTATATACTTAACTGCACTGTCTAGGCGGTCTAGCTCCTTCCTAGCTCTGTATAATGAATATACCGTCTAAATATTATCGGCACTTATTAAATTGAATGCTCGTAATGCCGTAATGCATCAGTCAATTCTAGCATTGCCCATCCCCCCCCCCGGGCAACCCCCGGGCATTTGCACTTTTTTTTTTCTTTAAGTTGACAATTCCCGGGGGTCGGGCAGAAAAAGCGTGGCAATGCCCCGCCCCCGGGCAAAAAATAAGATGACAAATGCCCGGCCCCAGCGCACACAGACTCATTTATAGAATGTATTTTAGATCTCAAAACTTCCATAACATTATTAGCTTCCTCGTATAAAAGCTACAGCAGTCATCCCAACTTTTGAACATGAAAAACGTGCTCGTCGGTTCAGTGGTTAATATACAATCACGTAAGTCGTAGCAAGATATAAAACAAGGATTGTACTATGAATTCAGGTGTTTTTATGCTAGATAGTTAAACACAACTTTAATTAGTTCTCATGTGCGATTGGTGTGACGTTTTGTGAATGAAAATATCGACAAAATCCTCGTTTTTACGCCCGAATTCTTCGACGCCATTTTAATATAATAGCACGTGTTCGTCGCAGAAACGTCCGGTTGAGTCAAATTCCCGGCCGGTAAACAATTCCCCGCCCCCGGGACAACTTTGCAAGTACCAATGCCCGGCCCCCGGACAAAAAAAGAGTGCAAATGCCCGGGGGTTGCCCGGGGGGGGGATGGGCAATGCTAGAATTGACTGATGCATTAAATGCATAAGATCAATTTATATATTGTGTAGATTTTCAAAGATTTACTCAATATTCACGTCTGAAATCTTTATATACTTGAAAACAACACTGTCTCGCTTCTGCCTACGTACTCTACCTCTGTATAATGAGAATACCGTGAAAATAATATCGGCACTCAAATGAATGCCTAAGAATCAAGATATTCAACTCAATATTTACGTCTGAAATGTTTACACACTTGACTGCACTGTCTAGCTCCTTCCTAGCTCTGTATAATGAATATACCGTCTAAATATTATCGGCACTTAATTGAACGCCCGTAATGCATAAGATCAATTTATATATTGCGTAGATTTTCAAAGATTTACTCGATATTCACGTCTGAAATCTTTATACATCTGAAAACAACACTGTCACCCCTTCCTAGCGTATCGTCACGCCATCGTGATCTACGGCTTGATAGCGCATGCGCATTTGCGCTACTAAAGAAAAAATCGGGTGTTCCGGGGTAAAGATCCTTTACACAACATGAGAAGCGAATGTTCTAAAATTTACAAAAAAATACAATAGCGAAAGCGATTCCTCGAAATTTTTGTGAACTTGGCAAAAGGATAACAGAATACGAACATAAATCGTATACACCCCCCGGAAAGTTTACTCTATGACTGACTGACTGACTGACTGTTTGACTGATTCGTGTGAATTCGCCAGCCATCACAATAGTGTGAAGTGAAACTTCACACTAAAAATCGTCCCCAGAAAACGAAAGAAGCACAAATTAAATGTTGTATTTAACTTGAAAGGTAGGATTTCTTTATTATTTTACTATGTCAAACATATTCACGGACAATTTAAAACTTATTTAAAACCGGAGTTTTTGTTTTCAAACAAATAGCAAAAAGTGTCCCGACTGTTCGATGTGAAAAACCTTGCCGTGATATTCTTTTATATCCATTTTGTTTTGTATCCTATCGCTATAGATTTCTCAATTTGTACGATACTATTTCTTTTGATATGTCATGTTTTCATTGTTCTGTATGACGTTCTGACCGCTGTATTGTACTATTCTGTTTTCGAAACTTGTAAAGTGAAAAGTGTTATTAAAACTTTATTTCGAACGATATAGTTTTACATTTCATTTTACCAAATTTCTCAGCCATTTCCTGAAAAAATTATTGCTAAACAGAAACTATTTTTTAATTCTAAGTCTGGTGAAAAAGACATTCCGTTATTGTGTTTATATTCCAAACAGAAATCGATAAAAACGACTTCGTAATAAAGCAATAAAGTCACACAAGAAGCCATTTTGAAAGCGTGTGCGTACAAGAAACACTGCAACACTGTTAGTGACAGTAACCGTGAACAGGCCGAAAACAGTTTTATTTCTGAATTTGAATTGAACTGATATTTGGATATTTTATTTTATTCATTAAAAATTTATGCTAAAACAATTATTTGCCTCAGGCTCAGTGATTACGGTGAATATTCACCTCGACTTCGTCTCGGTCAATATTCACCGGTAATCACTTCGCCTTCGGCGAATAATTGTTAATTATTACCCAAAATTAATGAACAGATTTTATTTTGTTGGAAACGTGAATGTGACAAGTTTACACATTTCAAAATATGCATCTTTGTAATTTGTAACTATTTGTTTAAAATAATATATTAAACACTCTTACGAAAACATTAATAACAATTATAATCCCAGAGCGTAAGCCCGGGGCGAGGGTAACAATTCCGCACGGCTATTTACCCCAGGGGAAAGGAAAGTATTACCAAAGTCTGAAGTTCATCAATAATCGTGGGCGCATGGGTAACCGTGGGTGGGCGGTCATCCCACTGATCTCAAAATATAGCTCACTGCTATCAATAGCGAACACTGATTGGTCCAATTTAAAATTAGCATCATAACGACTGCATGACGACAGCGAAATAGCCAGCATCTCCTGCAAATATATTTTATTTTTGCAAGATTTTGTGAATTTCAAAAGCGTTTTGAGAAGAGGCGAAAGAATTGCTAAAAAATGGAGCAAAGACGCCGACGTTAATGAAGGTAAGTTTGTTTTAAATATTGTTCATGATTGATGTAATGCAATTGCTTGCTTTATAATTGCTTTAAATTCTGATCGTTGCGTATATTGAAAAAGACAGCGTATAATAACATACTTAACATATATATGTTTGGGGCAGTGATAAATTTGTAATTTTAAAAATATTCTTAATAAATCAATTTTAAAAATATTCTTAAATCATGTTCTGCATGCATGTATTTTCTAGTTATAATAATCAATTCCCAGAAATTTCTGTAAGTATGAATGACCTAAACAAACAAGTAGTATTATAGGGCTGAAAATAATTCAAAACTGATGCACAATAGTTCGCCTACCAAACTGCTCAAACAGATATATTACCTGTCCACGGTAAGGGCAAAGCACTGTCACGTATTCAGGAGGATATCCGTTCTTCATCAAGTGCACGGCGACGTCCAAGATCAGGAGAATTTCCTTTTGGTTGTACAAGCTATTTGATCCTTTTATCTGTTTTTCCTGTGCAGTGTGTTTCACAAAATACAGGCTAGCTCCAATGCAATCAGGTGGTTTATTATTGCAGGTTTTCTTTTTAAGAAAAAAACATAAAATTACTAGAGGACATGGATGGATTTTCTGGGAGGATCATTGTGGGTCGCACCTCCCCCTTCCTCCAAGAAAAAACTTCCCCACCTCACCTAGAGAAATTTGCACCCGTGAAATATGTTTTAATATTCATTGGGATGAATGATAGCAGCGTGATTGAAATAAGGATTTTGAACTAAATATAAGACCAAAAATCTCAATATTTCCTGGGAGATTAACTTCGCCAGCTTACCTCCCCATTAGTAGCTAACTGTGCCCCCGGACCCTTGCTGCAGCTTCTTCGACAGCGCTCCGCCAGTCACCTCCACCTAAATTTTAGGCACCCGCCACCAAGCAAAGTCTGAAAATCTGTCTATGCTATAGGGGGTTAGGCTATTGCATGTGCAATAGGTAGGGCACTGTCGTGGTACATGGGCCGAAATTTGGTGTAGATATTTGAAAACAAAGGTACGATAACGATTTTAAATCAAATCAAATCAAATCAAGCACTCGAGCTTTTTTTCACTTAGAAGATAACGATAATTTTTTTACAAATCAGTGCATATTTACTATAGTAATCGTATCGCTACCATCATGTGTAGTGTCACCTGGCCTTTATTCTTTATCACATTAATGTCAAACTGAACGAAATACAACTATAGGCCTATTTTATCCCACTGCATATAGTCGTCGAGGTTTCCAACTTTGTATCTTAGTTAATTTTTTAAAAATTCTTTTCAAAATTTATATTTTAATCGAGGGCACCGTTCCTTTTTACAAATGCACGTATACGACATGGCGGACGATTTATGTGCATGAACTTTGTATCTTCTGAGTAATGAACAACAAACATACCCTAACATCTGTTACATTAATAATAAAATATTAAGACAAGACAGGAAAAACTTACTGACGTTAGAAAAACAAAGTTTAATGAAAAGTGAATCCTACCTCCTTGTTTGTCTTTAAATCCTTGTATATGTTTAGTGACCGAAGGAGATCGGCAATATCATCTCGCATTCGACATTGTTTTCCAAGCTGTTGAAACGGCATCTTGTTATTTATCAATCGTTCAAACATGGAGCAGTCAAGATTCTTTTGCGTCAGTTTGTAACAATTTACACGAGGTTGAAGCTGCTCCTGATCTCCTAGCATTACCAAATGCTCTATACTGGGCGGGAGGACTGAAATTAACTGCCCCTCGATTATTTCTGCAGCTTCTTCAACGATCACAGCGCATGGCTTCAGCTGATCTAAAATTGTTAGCATAATTTTTAATAAACATCATTATCATGGCTGAAAAAGGAAGAAGGGCAATCCAAATAGGTGCATGCAACTACAATATTCAACCCAAGGTTTTTGAGAAAAAAAAAACACAAAGAGGATCGAAATAGACAAAGTTCCCAGTTTTATTCACAAAACCACCACCAGGCCACAGAATACTACACAGAAGTCCATCTCCATTGCTTTTTGCGCAAGCTCTATTCGTCCTGATTCGTCACTCAGCAAGTACCGAAAACAGAAGAAGTCACGCCCCTGGACGTGCGCCATTTTTTTAGTATTACCAGGGTGGGACTGCTTCTGTTTACGGTACTTGCCGAGTGACGAATCATGACGAATAAAGCTTACGCAAAAAGCAATGGAGATGGACTTCTCTGTAGTATTCTGTGACCAGGCGCTTGAGGAATACAGCGAAAATCGACTCATAATTGGATATATATATATATATATATGTAACCAGATACCTGCTTAATCAAGTTGTAAAATGATAACCTATATTTATTATGAATATTGAATAATATCTGTCAGTTGCCTGATGATCGCGTAAAGCGTGAAACTCAGAGTAGCGACGCAAACATTCAAACCTTGACTGAATTATATATATACATATATATATATATATATATATATATATATATATATATATATATATATATATATATATATATATATATATATATATATATATATATATATATATATATATATATACTGGTACCGACTTCCTGCTATTTTCTTTGTGTTCAATATCGAAATTACATTGCCATAAAAACTATAAAATCAGCATTCATATAATTTGTAGTTACAGATAATATTTACATAAATTTCGGTTATTTATTAAGTATATAAATATAATTTCCCGGAAACACGTAACTACGTAAGCCTGTATTTTAAAGATAGTGCTAAGGTCTTAATATAAATAGATGCCTTCCTCATTAAAGTAATTTAGCACGAACAATTGTTTTTGTGTTGAACCATAGGCAGCCCAGCTAATGTGTGTATTGACTTAAAAATGCATTAAATGCATCAGTAATAGGTACAAAACGCGTCTGAATTTGCTGGCAAGCGTTTATTGTGTAGCTCAATATATATGCAGTTTCCGATGTTTAGGTCATTGTATTTTATATATAATAATACTGGGTTTTAATAGTATACATGGAAAATGATAACTTAATTGTCATGTATTTACATAGTTCATACTACTAATATATTAAAATGTTATTAAAACTATATCCATTTACCTCTAGTATAAGAACATTATATATTATTATTGTATTTATCAATAGCATAGACTAGTGGACTGTTCTTAAAACGATCAGTTCTACTTTTAAAGTAATGTTTCCCACTTTCACAGGTAATAAGTAGTGTAATTTATGTGACGGGGAGGACATGTTTTTAATTAAGTCACTGCAATGTATGTCCCGTCTCTGATTAAGTGGAAGTAGTTTAGACGAAGCAAGTGCATCTTCATAACTTAGGTCAGGAGTCATAATCCTTAGAGCACTTTTTGGATTCTTTCAATATCTTGACTTTGTGATAACGTTAGACCTCCATGTCATAATATGTCACCGTATTCCAAAACCGATCGAATCACTGAACAATAAAACTTTAATAGATCTTTTACTGGCGCGCCATATTTCTTTAACATCTTTAAAAAATATACGCGTTTCCTGGCCTTTTTAATAATAAAAAAGGTATTAGTATGCCATTTGAGGTCTGATTGAAGTCAAATGCCTAATAGCTTGTGGGATTGTACTCTTTCAATAGGAATGTTGTCTATCGTAATCACTGGTATTTCAGATTTCACAATTCGAAGGTCGATTACCATTTCTTTAGTTGTTTTCAAGTTCAACCTCATGTTTTCCTCTCTTGAAAATAATTTTGAAATTCTTTCAACATTTGCTTGGATGTTGCTCACTGGGTGGGTTTCAGGGTTATTTATATTGAGAATCTCTGATAGGGTAGTATCGTCCATAAAAATTGAAACATGTTCTTTTCCTAAATTTTTGTCAGTGAGTGCCAAATCTGGTAGTTTATTAATTTTGGTAATAAATGCTATCGGGCCGATTTTACTTCCTTGAGGTACCCCTGCGTTGATCTTTTTAAAACACGATGTCGATCCATCTCTGTTTACCCTCTGTAACCGGTCGGATAGGTACGAGGCTAACCATGGTAGTAAAGCGGGACGAACCCCAACAGATTTAAAGTCATTCAGCAAGATGTTATGATTTATAAGGTCAAATGCCATGGAAAAATCCAAGAAAACGATTCTAATTACCGATTTGGGTTTGTCCAAGGCGACAAGCCATGCGTGTAACATTTCGAGCAGGGCTAATACAGACGACGAAAGAGGAATTCCCCCAAATTGACGTCGCTGAGACAGTCCCTTGAATCTTCCAACATCCAATCCAGTGCAAATGATTCTAGATTTTTTGAAAATACACTTGTAAGGGCAATTGGTCTAATATCTCCTACTGAAGTGCATGGATTTGACTTTGGGATAGGGCAGCAGTTGTATGCTTTCAAATCTCCCCGAAACATTTCTCTTGAAAGGAGGTGTTAATAATGTCTGTTAGTGGACCGGATAACTGCTCCGCAAAGTGTTTGATAATTTTCGTTGGTGGGGACCTGGGGACTTATTGATATTGATTTCTTTCAGCTTTTGTGCAATACATTCCCTTGAAATGGTAGGAAGATCAAGATCGTCTCCACCCAGCTGTAGATCGATTGATATTTTATTATACTCCTTAGTTAAGTTAATTAAATAATCATTAATGCACTCTACTGATTCTTCTGAGGTTAGAGGTTCACCAGAGTCTGGGTTAACAAGGTTAATTTTCTGGTTCTTGCTTATTCCACATATACGTTTGATACTTTTCCACCAATCTTTTGGGTTATTAGACTGTAATGGTTTTACTTTGACCCGGTAAAACTTTTGTTTTTCCTTTTTAATTTCTTCACGAACTTTGTTACGCAACGATGTGAATTTCTGTTTATCTCCTTTCGCAAAAGCTTTATCTCGTTGAATCTAATGGAGCTAAAGCTAAGGGATTGGAGTAAAAGGATGCGACATTAGAAAAAATTAAATCCAAAGTGGCACCTTTTCTCGTAGGGACGCGGACGACTTGTTTCAGACCTCACAAAGTTTTGAGACGTTTTTGGTTGAAATTATTACTATTTGGATTAAAATCACCAGTCACTATGAAGGCTGTTTCTGTGCTCTCTAAAACCAGTGTATCGACACAATAGCAGAGATAATCGTAAAATGTTTCTATTTCTTGACTTGAAGTAAGAGGTGGGAGGTATACAACTGCTATCGCTATTCGTGAAATACGTCTTGGGAGCCACTTAGGTCGGATTGTAGTCCAAAGGCATTCGATAGAACAATGTGACAAGTCTACGCGCACTTTGTAAGGTATGTTCTCCCGTATATAAGTACAGACTCCTCCGCCGCGAATTCCGTTTGCTCTATCTTTCCGGATAATTGTGTAGCCACTCACTTGAACAACTTATCCTAATGGCCCGTAGAGACCGGACGCGATTTGGCAACGCGACGCGAATTTTCAATGACATTTAATTTAATATTTTTCCGTGTTTTTCAACTATTCGGAACCTTAACCAATTTTAGCTATTTGGTCAGCATATCTTGTAAAATTAGTTTCATCCGTTGTCAGTTTTAATTTATTTATTTTAAAAAAATGAAAATTCACTTCGCGTTCGGTCTGTATGGGCCATAGGCCGGCAACTCTTTCACAAAATACATTTGCATAAATTAATGCGTTTGCTTAATTGAAACAACAACAAAAACGCTACTTTCAGAAAAAAAAAAAAAAAATACCTTGGATATTATATTTTTTAAAATTTTATTCAAACTTTTTAGAGTTGATAAAAGTTTAGAAGTATATAAATTTCATGCATAAAAAATGGGTTCTTATCGAAATTGTCCGGATAGACGGGATGCAAATGCTCGTCAAATGTCATCATCAGAAAAATCGTCGATTTATTGCCTGTTGAAAAATCGCAAAGTTCCGAATAAAATAGACCGTATAGTCAATGAACTCAGTTCTTCATTAAGGTCTTAGCCTGATATGGAATTTTGGCGCCCAAATTTCAAATTTGGCTTGTAACTTATTATTTACGTGATGGTGAATTTCGTTTGATGTTATAACTGTACATTTTTTGCTTTTCAAGAGAACAAAATCACACAGTCAGTCATTTCCAAACTTGTGTGATATAATATTCAAATTCTGGATTTAAGCAAATAAGGTATTTTACTTATTGCAATTCCCTCCAATTTGACTCTCAATCATGGGGATAAAAAAACGTTAGCCAATGACAAAAAAACAACGATAAACATTATTACATAAAATTTACTTAAGCCTGGTTCACATTGATCGGCGATGTTCTACGATCCATTGTCTGTGAGCAACGAAGAAGAAAATGCACAAAACATTTTATGCATCAATGACCACCGACAATGGGCATCGCCGATGTTTACGATCAATGTGAACCAGGCTTTACACGTAAAGGAATTGTACATAAAATAAAAATCTTTTGTAGTGTGTAAATCTATCATTATGTAAATACCATAGGTTGATTGCTGTTGTATTACCCACATTGTTGATATCAGATATAATGGTTTTCTTAATAAAATTGAAATATTACTGATTTCCCCCTGTTTTTGCGTTTACTTGCTGAATTCAATGGTTGAATATTAACCTTGTAGAATGCACCTATTTGGATGGACGCTGATTACCTTTTTCATTCTACACTGTAGTGACTCTAAGATTGAAATCATGAGTGCGATGAGACTTTTACAAGCGAATGAAGTTTTCAAAATTTTACAGTTATTAGAATAAAAAAACTCAAGTATAATATACTTTAAACTAAACTATATAGTCAATACGTTAATTTTCTATATCTGCTATTACACAGGCCTCTGCATGGGGATAACTTTCGATGTTTGGTAGAATTAGACTGAATTAAAGCACTCTTTCTCCATGTCGCTGAGCAAGATAATTTATAGAACTGATTATTATGCACTTTCTTGCGATCATAAACGATCATGATCACAATCGCTTCAAGCATTTGCCTCTACGAGTCCCACACAGAATAATGCATTCACCACTGACCCAACATCTGAACAACAGCTGATAATTTCAATTCGTTAATGCCACATGTCTATATGCACTCTGACGAATATGTCTAGATGAAAGCACATACCCAACAAGTGTAATCGAGTTGCAGCTCCAGTAACGGTCATACCAATAACATCATACTCCTCCAATATATTAACAGTACGATCATCCAAGAAATCCTGATGGCACTTTGCATTCTAGAAGAGAAATTATTGCGAATTAACACGGTCATACATACAAGGCGTCCATAAATGGCCTCCCAATATATTTTGTGGTATTACTACATTAAATTTACTGTCAGATTGAGATTTGTGGACTAGATTGAATAACTAATTAAACTGGCAACACCAACTTTCGGACTTGCCCGAATTATGGAAATACGGCTAAACGGTTTCTGAAGAAAGTGACCAAACTATAACAACAAACTTATATCGATTTATGTTGTTAAAATCAAGATTTCGTTTATAATGTAAAAATGGAGTTGGTGTTCTCATCCATTTTAACCCAAGCGTAGCGAGGGTTAACATTAGGTCTTCATGAGGAGACGATTAAATTACAAATTAAAGATAACAAAATAGACGGCAAATGAACAATGTGGTCTTGCGCTACCAGTTATTTCAAATTCGTTGAGCTAGCTATAAACCGGTTTATATGCGGAGAAAAAACCCAAACCGTTCTTATACGAGCCCCCCGGAGGGGGGGGGGGGTTAAAAATTTTCCGGGGGAGTATGCCCCCGGACCACCCTAGAAATCTCACGCCTTCGGCGCTCGTTTCGCCATTGGTTAGCACCCCCCAAAAAAACTTTGCTGGATCCACCACTGAATGGTATTATAGTTTGGCATAAAAACAAAGCATGGATAAATTTCCATTCACTTCGTCACTGCGTATATTCTACTAATAGTTTCTGTCACAACAGAAATTGGTTTTCTAGTGTTTTTGGGAATGGATTCTAGCGCATTTAATTTATGAAAATAGATATATACTAGCTATCTTTTTGAATTTTTACAGACATTTTGTCGTTAAAAAATAAAAAAGCTTACCTAGGACTAGCTCAAAACATTGCCAAACCGAATGCCAGTAGACGTAAACAATCAATGATGCCTTCTTAAAAATTGGCTAATACAACCAATCATTGGAAGGTTATTTAAATCATGTACACATCAATTTTAGTCTAATTTGTCTTGTTTCTCAGGGCCTTTTAAGTCATATTTCACATTTTTATTTCACTGTAATTTTTGTTTCGCTGAATTTCGATTCTTGTATCATTTCATTTACTTCGTATGCCTGATAACTTTGGCCACGTTTTAGAAAATTAATGTAGCTCTGTATAGGTTAAATATTACTTACTTCTTCGTACAAATTTACGGCTTCGCTAAATTCAAGAACAATTTTGCACTGTAAAGCGCAAATAAAATTCAGACGTTCCTGATCAGACAGCGTCCACAGATTGAGCTCTTCTTCAACGTCTTCTGCTGATTCTGAAATGAAGTGTAACAGGGAAATAAAGATTGACATATCTGTAGCAGCAGTATATATAGCTACAATCTTTGACAATATAGATTGGGACAATTTAGTTTTCACATGCATTCAGTTGTAATATACCATTTCCTGATACATATTTTCCACCCTCCCTCCCCCCACCCGTTTCAATGTTGGCGCCGCGCATCCAGACATCAGATTTTTGTTGAACTGGGGGAACGGGGGGCGCTGTTCCTTTCAAATTATATGAAATTACAGCAGCTGCATGTCCCATAGTTTCTGGCAAAGATTGTCTTGGTGGTGAACAATGGTGTTTGGAAGTTGGTAATTAAACGTTTTAGTTCTAAGTTTATACCGCCGAATAACGTATATTCCAGTAGCAAAGCATATGTGGGCAAAGTTTTGGTAGTTTTAGATACTATCCATTCATTCCGGGGGGAGGGGTTATTTTTAACACTGTATATACCATTACAGGTACGTGTGCTACTAGATATAATGCTTAATAAGGACATTTATATTCACGTCTAATATCATCATCGCTATCTTCCTTGTGAAAAATCCGCGGAAATTTACTCAAACGTTACATGCTGTCTTTGGAATGATGCAAAAGGCCATAATTACGACGAACCTGGAACCGAACTATTCAGAAATAATCTGTTTGTGAGTCGAATAGGTTTAAATCTCATCTCACAACATATCAAACTGCGGGGAAAGACAAATAAATATGCATTGTTTTCGCCTTTTACAACTTATACTTGAGAACTGGGGCCATTTCCAAGCTAAATTTCATTTGCAGTATAATATTTATAGCACAGTTCATAAAGCAGACAGTAGTCAAATTTCATACGTCTCAAATTACACGATGCTCACTAACGATTCTCGGTCTAAAAACGCTGATTCGCGTTACTATAAATTTTACTTATCTTACGTTTTATATCCATATGGGAACAAGAAACCATTTTTCTTAATTACAATCGGTTAACTTTGCAGATATCCCTTTTTAACTTCGTTTTTGAACGAAGCTCACTACTAAACTGTAAATAAATCTATATCTCATTGGCTATTTTAGGACACAAAGTGAGAATCGTTGCTAGAAAATCATTCGTATCTTAGTCAGTTCGTTACGAAAACTTGTAAAATCGTGCTATCTGGTAAAATATGTTGGACTTTAAATGCGCAGGGTGAATTTGTTTGATAATGTCTGCTTTTAAGGCTTTTATGGCGGGTGAGCCAATGAAAATTTCGCGAGATTCGTGGTGAGATTCGTTTCTATATTGATCTCATTGTCACATATACGCGCTTAGTTATGCTAACAAGATGGCTCAGATGTCAGTTTTCTTTAAACAGGGCGGATTTTCTGGGGGAGGGGGGGTGCAGGGGGGGTGCGCACCTCCCCCACCCAAAAAAATTTTCTAGCATCCCCCAGAAAAATTTGAAAATGGCGTGCGTACTGTAGGTTATTATTATTATAGGCTTTATTTAAAGAAACTGATACATTTGGCAGTAAGAGTACGACTTACTGATAACTTCAATAAATGCAATTATTGTGCATATATATTATACTAAGTATTTATAAAACTAAATATACTACGTAAAAACGTCTAAAGATTAAATATCCAAACGTGTATTCAATTTTAGAATTTAGTAAAAAGACCAGATAAAAAGCAATGACTAAACTAAACTTTGGTGAAAAAACAAGATCGAATACTAAGCCTAAAATTTCAGTAAAAAAGCTAAGAGTAATACTGTAAGTCTAGGACTAAGCTACGAGGGCAAGTCTAACTTTGTCGTAACAGATGTTATGACCACAGTAAAATCCTGCCATACACTGCTCAATAAACCGAAGATCAGACAAAAGTACGAATCACTCCATAGAGAAATGTATCCTAGCTAGCAAACAAGTTAAACATATTTCGCAGCAAAACGATGTTCGTTCGGGTTGCAAATACGAAGCCGTTGATGTTATATCTGAAAGATTTGATGTACATTGTCCTCACGACCCTGATAGACGTTGCAAACAATCCCGGTGGGCGGTGGAAGTGATGAAGATTCGGAAGATGATGAGTATGGGTATAAGAAATCACAGGCAGAAACAGCAGCTGGACTGTACCAAACTGATGTCAGGGAAATTCATCGTCAGCTGACAACACTTCATAAGTATCTCGGCAAGCTATACTTCCTTAATAAAGAACTTCAGGCCAATTAGAAATTGATTGGACGGATGTTCAATACGAGCTGACTAGAACTCGGAATTCAATTAACATCATCAGAGACGAGGCCATATTCATTGAGCCGAAAGAAATTTCAAGAAAGACTGGAGAGCCCTTAGCTCTCTGCGACACAATGCCTATCCACAACACTAGAGCTACAACAGTTACTTATTGGAGTAAGAGTTTAATGTCAGATTTGACTCTAAGGCCTATTTTATACGTCAAATTTCGGTCGCGTCGAATGCAATTCAAACAATAGTGAATAGATAATGAAGCTTAATGAGGTTTATCATCTCATTATCTGTGGTTTGAATTGCATTCGACGCGACCGAAATTCGACATATAAAACAAGCCTAAGAACATAGACATCCTTAGTCTTAGAGCTATCAATGCTCTTAATGCAGGTTCCGATACCTACTTAGACTTAAGTGAGCTAGATGTGCTACTGAATACCTTCAGCTGTCTCAACATTCACAGATCTATCCTCGAACTAGAAATCGAAAGAGCTGAAATTGATTAACGTCTTGTTCTACCAATAAATCCAAAGAGGCTTCCAAACTTAACCACTTTAATTGCAGTTAAGAACACCATCTCGATATCAACCGCTTCAGTGGAAAGAGCATTTTCCGGCATGAATTGTATCTGCACGAAGCTGCGTTCCACCCTTCTTCCAGAAAGATTAAGTGATCTTTTATGCATGCATTTCGTTAAACAGAGATGTTGTTGATTATTTTGCTGGATTTGCATGAAGTCGTAACAGCATGGGGAAACATGCGCAATAGGTGGGCTAATGTCTAAGTCATTAACTGACTAACTATATAAAATGTATAAGGAACTTATTACTAAATTGAGAACTTGAAAAAAAAAACAATTCATTATTTCATTTTTTTATTAAAGGGGCAATGACACCGATTTTTGACCTAAAATGCCTTTTATTCAAAAACTGAACTACAACGTTAAAAATAAACATTGTAAATGGATTAAGTTATGATATATGAGTCATATTAAACAACTTTGAACTTCCACGCAACATGTAACATGACATTTTCATAAAAATTGACCTTAACTTGAAAAAGTGTCCGCCAACAATTAATCAAGATATCATTTACAATCCATCTCAATCCTGGCGTAATCTTGCCCATCCAGACTTCTGTACATGTTTTTTGTGTCTGTTATTGCTTTATTTTGTGCTTACACTCATTCTTTTTCAGTTCTGGGAAAAATTTGCGAGGGTTAGAATTGCTCAAAAATCGGTGACATTGCCCCTTTAAAACTTTGTTAATTTGTTACTATACGATTTTCACGAATTTGAAACATTCTAAGGAAGCTACTCAGGGTGCGATAATTCAATATTTTTAGCCGTACCTGACTGGTACTCCGACAACTTTTGCCGCGTACCTGATCTGGTAAAAACTTAAGAGTCAATTAAGACGTGCCTAAGACTACTTCCGAGTCATGCGTTTTTATACCTACGTATAGTTTACTGGTCCGCCAAAAGCTTTTGTACAAATGAATCTTTAACTATGTCTATGGTATATTTGTACAACATAATATAACAGTTTTCAAAGCGTCAACCGAATGCCATCGAATGCCATCGCTCATTTACAGTGGAATTCCCGCGGGTGCTAACAGTCTGACCTCAGCTGCATACAGTGTAGTTTTCCTCATTGGGCCTAAAAAAAACCTGTGGTTCCAGTTTCATATCGCGAAAAAATTATGGTAGGCAGGTCGGAAATAAATTTTTTTTTTGAATATTTTTTCCATGGTTTTGGTGGATTTTCAGGTGAGTCCCGACATCAATATTAACTAGAGATGCGTAGTTCCTACGGACGTATTTAGGCAAGTTGGTTCAATAATTATTGTGACAATTACAGACGCCATTTTGGCACGCTGTACGAGCATCCCGTAACCATCCGGACAAAATTGGGTCGCACGGTCAATCGAGTTGAAAAAAAATAATAGGGTGCGCAGAAAAAAATAGGGTCGGTCGGGAAACCGGAACCACAGGTATTTTTTTAGGCCTTGGTATAGCATTGACAATTAAGCCCATGTATCACCACAAAACGATAACGATATAACTTGTAAACACGCGATGATTGGTAAAAAATTATGTTGGCGTCCACACTACAACGAAAACGATAAAATTATCGGCGTTTGACGATAACGATTTTAAAATCGAATTTTTTTCAGTCGGACGATGACGATAAATGTTTTGATCAAGCTCAAAGATAACCTTTGGGCTTTGTTCATCCCAAAATATGTCGGATGTGTGGAATTTACATGCACAGCTAAAATTCTTCACGGTTTTGAATACTTTGGCAGGTTTGCTAGTTATTGCTAGAAGTAAAATGTAAGTACGCGAATAGCACATTTCCGCGTACCTACGTGGTACTTGCCTAAAAACAAAGAGGTACCAGACCATAAATTTGGCGTACCTCCGGTACGTTGGTACGCGAATTATCGCACCCTGACTACTGAGTACTGAAAAACTATACAACTTTATTTTAACTTTATACTACTATTCATTAATAATTATTAAACAATAAAATAATAATACTTTGCAAATATACTGTGCGCACTAATATAGAGTCCCAATACCGTTAAAATAGAGTCCCAATACCTTTACCAAGCATGGAATTCAATGAATTAATTGTGACTATAATGTGGCACTACAAGCCTTTAAATCTGATTTTAAATATACGCGATTTTGCAGCCGGATTTTAGCTATTTCCTAACACACGCATACGCAAACATTGTATAACACAGTACACGAAAATTATCCGTGTGCAACGAAATTGCTAAAGGACCTAACAGAGGTGAATAAATTATGAAAATAACTGCGTACACAGCTTGATGATGTCTACAAGTTGAATTAAGTTGAATTAATGGTATTACTTAAACAGACAATCTTTGACAATATAGATTGGGACAATCTAGTTTTCACATGCATTCGGTTGTAATATACCATTTCCTGATACATATTTTCCACCCTCCCTCCCCCCACCCGTTTCAATGTTGGCGTGGCGCATCCAGACATCAGATTTTTGTTGGTCCAACATTGAACTGGGGGAACGGGGGGCGCTATTCCTTTCAAATTATATGAAATTACAGCAGCTGTCCCATAGTTTCTGGCAAAGATTGTAGGATATACAACTACTTGAGAAATACAAACAAGACTTCGACGTTTCGAGCGAATGAAACTTTCGTGGGAAGCTATTAGCGTGGGTTAATCGGTAAATATATATATATATATATATATATATATATATATATATATATATATATATATATATATATATATATATATATATATATATATATATATATATTTGGCAAAAATAAACCAAACAAATTGGTTTATTCAAAACATTAATATGAAAGCCAGGTATTAATTACAACAATTAAAAATATATAGCATGGAATAAGGTGAGAATTAAAAGTGCTGTCAATGTCTTCATGTGTCAGGCAAAGACAGATAAAGTTAAACATATACAGGTGGACAGTGCCAATTTTCAAGGGAGGCACATTTTGCGGTAGGGATCGAGCTACATACGTATCATGCCTATATTACTAGGGTTTCACGGATATATTTCTGTGTTGAAAATACACTTCGGATTATGGGAGAAAATGGAATATGTTTCAGATTCTTACTTCTTAGTTTGGTAAGTTAAAATTAGGGAAATTTTGCTGTTACCGGTATAACATTAGACACAAGGTGTCGAAGAGCTGAGTCTTAGATCGGGAAATTTACTATTTAGAAGAACTTCAAAAATGCATGCGTAGTGTTGAAGACTTTTGGCTTGAAAGTTCTTCTTCACGGCAAATGTGGCAAAGACTAAGGAACTGACAGAAGGAAATCGAGATAGCTGGCTTTGTTCAACACCGGAGTATATTATTAACTAGCACTGAACGGAAGTAATTAACAAAGTTAATAAAGCGCTCCAGTTCGAAATGAAAACATGCTGTATAAAGCTGGATATTATTATAGAATGTAGTGTTTCTGTCGTTTTGTTATAAGTTAGAATAGAAAATTATTCCAAATTACTCCCGCTTCTTAGCGCATATACTTTCAAGTAAAAACCTACGAGTCGAGAGTGATACGCTTCAAGGAGAAATTCATGTTCTATACTATAAACTTTGTTTGCATAGTACGTAAAATCGTGTTGTTTACTGTCAGGCATTATATTTTTCCTGCCCTGATAACCTATTCCTATATCTACACCATTAAAAACAGAGAAACAGTATCGAAATATATGTGTTTATACAGTGTTAACGCTTATAATAATACGCTACCTCGGTCATTCTTGTAGAGAAACGGGATCTTTATATCGTCAGTCAATGGTTCATTATCATCTGTGTCCTCTGTGCTTGACGTATCCAAGTCGTCTCCCATAACATCATCTTCTAGAGCATCTAGCTGTCGTTCATGACCTGCAACTTTTCTGTCGATTGCATCCTCTAAACACCCTTCCTCATCGTCCGTTGATGATGGCGAAACACTGCAAAAATTTTGACACTTAAGAAATGGACACTTAACGAGTGGAAATTGGGAAAACGAGAAATTGTGTGGAAACACGACGCCCGAAGGGCGGAGTGTTTTCACACAATTTCGAATTTTCCCAATTTCCACGAGTGTTGATATAACTGTATATCAATACGGAAAAAGTTTTATATTTGTTTTATAATATAGCACAAAGAAACAAAGAAAGAAATTTTCCGACGTTTCCGTGTTGACACTGAGTTATATCAACACGGCTCTTAGCCAATCAGCGTTCAGAATTTAAAAATGCTATATTATAATATATAATAGCAGTGATAGTCGGGCAGATAGAAGGAAAAAACTTACCATATTGTGGGACAATTCCATTTTGCCTTCATATTGTGCCCTGAAGGCTAGTAAGTACGTTTCTGTACGTTGGCCGCGTTAAAATTTCTTGTGGCCTCCTGCCTACACGTTTTTCTTCGAATTTTGTATTAAACTCTATTACAGTTAAAAAATGTGAACTTTCAAATACATTTCTAACACAAATTACTTACATCATTTGAAAGCTTGCAAAAAACTACATATAAGACATTAATTTAAACGGTTACCCGGGATTTTTAAGTTCTTCTTTAGTTATGAGCTGTTGAATGCGTGTTTTCAGACTAGTACCCAGGAATTTTACGAGATTTTGGCTTATTTTTCACATTTAAAACAGCAATAACTCGAAAACCGCATGAAAATCCCAACCAACCATTTAAATGTCTTATATGTACTTTTTTGTTAGCTTTCTATTGATGCAAATAATTTGTATTAGAAATGTATCCGAAATTTCACATTTTGTAACTGTAATAGAGTTTAATACAAAATTCGAAGAATAACGTGTCGGCAGGAGCCCACAAGAAGTTTTAACACGGCCAACATACAGAAACGTACTTACTAGCCTTCAGGGCACAATATGAAGGCAAAATGGAATTGTCCCACGATATGGTGAGTTTTCTATCATTTTGAGCGTCTATCTGCCTAAGCGAAATTCGGCAATTTAGAAACTGAAAAACCTATACAAAAAAAATCAGTTGTGAAAAAGTCTACATGCATGCTCTTCCTCCCAATCTCATGCAGATGAAGGAGATCTACATGCTCTTTTTTTTCAACTTGTATTCATATCAGAAATGAGCCAGCCAGGCTCGGTGAGATCTCTGTCAGTGGTATAGATGGGATCTCAGTTAAGTGCAGACATGAAATATTATCCCACATGACCAGGATGGATTATTTGCTGATTTTCCCCATGATTGCATAGTATTGAACGGCATGCATAGTAACTATGAAAGACGTATAATTCAATGTACAATATATTTACTAACAACAACGACAAATATTTTGAAGAAACAATGTTTAGTTCATAGCTAATTTAGTTCCACCGAGGCAAAATATTAGGTGGGATGTCTGAACACAGGAATAATTCGTCCCAATCAGGTAAGCTTCCCAGCAATTGAGTCATGACTGTTTTTTATTGTGGATGCAATCGCTGTAGTTCGAAATGGAATTTTCCTTCGGATGTGAACGTAGCATGTAATCGTTGATGCAAATCGCGACAGCGCATTTGCATGAGACTATAAATATGAGCAGTCTGCTCAGTAGGACATCACGTGAAGCACTACACTGGCAAAACACGTTGGTTTTCTCCTTGGCTGCGTTTGGAAAATGTCCGAAGAGAACTCTGTGCCAAACGATTCACCTGTTTAAACGATACCTAGATCAAAAGGTCGAGCATTTGTTCTCTGGGTTAAGTGTTGCATCTCACTCACAATCTCTAAAGTTAGAACGACAGGCCGAAGGCATACAGAAGTCTCAACTTTCGCGGCAACCGAGATCGATTTTTGTTCAACGAAGTTCAAGATCTCCTATCTAATACTGCTGTTGCGTTGAGGAAAGACGTTACAGTAACAGCGTTAAAATCTATCGACAACGCCGGTATGCTTTTACGGCAGCGACAGAAGAAATTAAATTGGCAGACAAGAGCGAGGCGGGCTGGTTGGCTGCGAAAGAGTATGAAGCAGACGGCCACGCCAGCGATTCTGATTACGAAAAAAGGAGTCCGAAAAGCACAAGAGTCAATGCCATCACGACAGATAAAGCGAGATGACCTTCGACGCCATATTTTAATGATAGTCGTGGTTCTAACGACCAATTGTTTTTTCGAGGTAATTTATTCCCCTTCTTTGTTTTATCAAGGGGCAGGCAATTAAGTGCTTGCACGTTACCTGCCATCAATGTTTGTGCATATGTGCTTAGTGGAAAGGAGAAGGAAAATGATTTTCCTTCGGATGAACGTAGTGAAGTAGAAGGAAATGGAATTTTCCTTCGGATGTGAACGTAGCATGTAATTGTTGATGCAAATCGCGACAGCGCATTTGCACGAGACTATAAATATGAGCAGTCTGCCCAGTAGGACATCACGTGAAGCACTACACTGGCAAAACACGTTGGTTTTACATTTATAAATATATATTATCAAGTCTATTATAAATTGCAGTTTTCGTTTCTTGTTTCGTTCCACTTTAAATTGTTTTTCTTTAATAGGCCGTCGAATCCCTAGTCCAACCGACATGTGCTTTCGGACACTGGCAAAACACGTTGGTTTTACATCTATCAATATATAATATTTTCAAGTCTATTATAAATTGTAGTTTTCGTTTCTTGTTTCGTGCCACTTTGTTTTTCTTTAATAGGCCGTCGAATCCCTAGTCTAACAGACATGTGCTTTCGGTGTGGTAAAAGAAGCCACTGGAACTCAAGCTGCCCAAAAATGTTGCCTCGACACGACTCAGTCAGTTTGAACCAGGATATTTTCCAAGATCCACAGCCCCGACCAGCTCAGGGGAGAGAGTAAACGTTAGCCGATAATCCATTGCAAGATGTCTATGAAGACATAACTCCGGTACAACTTTCCTCTAATACCTGCGACTATAAGCAGCTATCTAGCAATACCCCGGTTTCGTTTCTAAAAGTAAAAGGGAGGCTTAGGGCTCATATCCAATTTTGGAAGTATATAGAAGCATCAGACTTCATCTTTGACACTATCCAGGAAGGATACCAGATACCTTTCCGCGAATCTCCCAATCCAGCTATTTTTCAAATAACTTGTCTGCTTCTGATAATTGCCAGTTTGTGTTTGATTCTATCACTCAATTACTAATCACAGAAAAAATTGTTCAGGTGCAAGAACATGACTAAATACCTTGTAGCCCACTTTCCGTAGCTACTCAGCCCGGTGGCAAACGGCGCTGATCTTCGATTTGACATTTTATATATTTAGTCAACAACAGCATACCAGTTCGGCATATTAAGATACATACATAAAAAATCTACCACTACATTACATACAAAATATAACAAATTTACTAATAACCTAATTTAAACTTTCAAAAACTGCTAAAATGTCATAATAGTATTTGGCCACTATTAAAAGTTCATCATTGTTTTGTCTTGCATAGCCATAATATATCTAAAAATATCTTGTTGAGTGAACAAACAGAAAGAACGATTTATTTTACAAACATTATTATAATATATATATATATATATATATATATATATATATATATATATATATATATATATATATATATATATATATATATATATATATATATATATGTTTGTATGTTTGTTTGTATGTATGTATGTGTGTATGTGTGTATGTATGTGTGTATGTGTGTATGTGTGTATGTGTGTATGTGTGTATGTGTGTATGTATGTGTATATGTATGTGTATATGTATGTATATATATATGTATATATATATGTATATATATATATATGTATATATATATATATATGTATATATATATA